TATGACCATTCTAAAACTAGAGTTTTGTGGATTTAGATTTTTTTATTATTTCAAGATGCGTACTGCCTTTATATAATGCTAACTTTGGTGGAGTTGGTCATCGAGAACAATTGAAAAAAAAGAGGTCAATATTAAATTCAATTGTCTCACACAGCCTTTTGCTTCACGTGAATTGTGACTATAATTTTTTCGCTAAGTAACCAGGGAACTCTGTTAAGATTGATTTGAGATGTAAGTGACTTATTATAGTTTGGTGCATCAGTACTGAAAAGTGATGTCATGCTATGAAAACGCCCATTTTAACAATGAACGCGCAAATGGTATCTTTTGCCTAAGTTCTCAGGATCAAGAGTAATCAGTTTATGTACTCAGCAAAAATGGGTAGAACTTTGTAAGTCTTCAAAATAGCTTTCCCATGAAGAAACAATTGGGTTTTATTTCATGCCTATTCGGAGAGAAGAACCTTTCCAAGAATCTCAAGTTCTATTTCAACCGACTTTTTTTTCATTTTATATATCACTCACAGCTTACTCTCCAGTAACAAACTTCAGCACTTGCCAAGGTTCAAAAATCTCTCCGAGTTGAAAATATTGTAAGTGATTCACGTTTGTGATATAACTGGCTCAGTACGTGTCTTGTATAATGAGCATTAACTTAAAGGTAGCGTTGGCCAAAACCAAAGGATCAGCTTGGATACGGACTATTTCTCTGGCATCTTCTTATGTTTAAGGATGTTAAATGATTGCGTAAAAAGTTAAATTATACATTCACTTTGGAAAGAGATACCATCAACTAAGAACCACACAAGGGTCAAATATTTAAGGTGATAAAACAAAATACAATACAACACATCTCGTACATTACTTTAATAGCACCCTCCCCTTCGGGCTTTACAAGGACCATACGCTAGAAACGATCGCTGATGATTGATGATTAACCCAAATCAAACTTCAATGATCAATTTTTATTTTTCTTAAAAAATGTATGAAATTGTTTAGCGGTTATCAAAACGTTGTCGTCAATACTGAGTTTATTTGGGTTTTAAATGAAAACACAGGATCTATAAATTTCAGTTTTTACCTAATTTTTTTCTAGCAGCTTTTCCAGATGTTCCAGAAAAGGGTTGTTCAAGCTAAAAGTATAGAATTCCGGGTGATGCGATTAGAAATACGAGCTTTAACTCGATTGCAAAAGTAAATGGGCGCACGTCCGATCATTCATTTAATTTTTACAACAGCGTTACCAAGGTTTAACCATTGTTTACCTGGTGGCCAGCATAGTCCTTTCGGTGAAGGCGTAACACGATGGAACTTAATTGTTCTTGTCACAATGCGCGTGGCAACGTCTTGATCCAAATACATTCATGAGATGTTTTTTCAGAAAGTGTTGGAGCACACTGATAAGCAGTAGGACAGTTTGCCGAATACCAAGGCTCCAATACGCTTTCGAAGGAGGTTTCCATAATAAGCATGTTTAATTCGACTGACTTTAATTAAAGATGAAACAGTTTCTATAATATAAGACAGGGTTTGGGACTAAACTAGTCTCGAGGTCCTCAAAAGATTATGCTGAGTCAAGGTTACTTAAGAATCAATAAGTTTCGCAGTCACTCCTGTGCTGCCAAATATCATTAAGGTCAATAATACCTCTCCCATCAAAGACTCTGTAATTATACCGAACGTCTGTTGCATTTTATTGTGTAGATACCTGTATAACAACAGCCTCGTACACCTGTCACCTGATCAGTTCCAAGGCCTGTCCAAACTGGAGGAACTGTAAGTAAATATTCGATGGAAATCATATCTGACTGCACATGTAACTATTCTTGACCAAATATGTACTTAACCAACTCAGTAGGGCGAATAGACCTTTCTTTCCTCCTCCCACCACTTTTTCCCAAAGTTTCGCTAAATTTTGAAGCTAGTGTACTTTGATTGGATGAACCTCAGAAACCCAAGCAGAATTCTGAAAAAGATTCTTTGTCATCCATCCAAGATAGTAAATTCCACCTCGGATTTCTTCAGAAAAAGACAGAAAAAGAAGAGAATTAGAGATGTAGCAATTCTCTCCCTCACCCCCGAAAAAAATTAACAGATCAGTGAAACAATACTTTTTATAGAAGTCCAAATATAAGCATGCGCTAAGTTTTGACATTTTCAGCGAGGTAACCGCAAACTGCATATCAGTGTAACTTTTACGCATCCCTGGCTGTGAGTTGTTTTTTTTTTTTCACTTTTTTTATTATGTTTTCAATATCGGATAGCTTTGAAGATATCGTAGGCAGAGGGCATTTAAGAATCAATGAAGATAAGAAGGAAGTTTATGTAAATACGTGCTTACCTCTAAATTTTTCTACATTTCTGATAATGATGATGTGCCCTATATGTTGTTCTAGGGCTGTTTACGAAAACAATATTGACTACCTGCCACATGAAGTTTTTAAAGGCATGAAAAACATGATGTCTATGTAAGTATCTGTCTCTAAACTATCCTCTTATTAACGGTAACGAGGTATTGTAAAATTAGTAAGGGTCTCGTGAAGATGCAATCATAGCAATGTTAGGAATCTCCGTTATCTAAGACAAACTCCGCTGGGGAAGATCAAGAGACCCACAAAGCTGCACACCAAAAACATGGACAATCTTCTACCCCCGAGGACAGATCATACCTTGATCAAAACCATGTGTGATGGACGACGAAATATTTACGATAGTGAAAGTGAAAACAGGCTGACTAAGAGATCATATTTACTAGAGGTAGAGAGAACTACCAAAAGGCAAATCAGACAAAACCTTGGGAAACACCAGGTCTCTTTAACCACCAAAAAAAAAATCCTGCTAAGGTATCCCCTTCCAGATTCAAAAACTGAGTTTACAAAGACTTCGACCGCGAAAACCTCTTGAGGATAGGTATGACAATACTCATGGGGTTATTTAAATTGGCATCGGCCACGCGGATAGAAATAGATCTGGAACTTAAATAGAGAATGTTTTTTTCATTCTTGATAACTTAACTGTGACTTTGAAGAAGCTCTTAGTAATGTGAAAATTCGTAAAAATACTTATGTGACATTATTGTATGACCCATTGTCTAATGCACGGTGAGGTTCTTTTCTCGTTGCAGAACATTTTGAACAAATGGAAGATATTGCCTTCCATTCTTGGCTAATTTTCTGTCCAGTGTTGTTTTAATTTACGCTTTAATGCTTGTCAGTTGACGCTCTACGCTTTTCATTGTTTCATCGTTCTGTAGGAGCTTTTATTTCAACAATATCCGTACCGTTAGCAACGAACAATTCAAAGATGTCGCCCCAAGTATTCGATTCCTGTGAGTATGAGTAAACTGGTAATATTCCAGGTGTGTTCAAACTACTTCGAGTTCAAGGGAAACAGATATTGTTGGTGCGACCTTCACGTGCCGTAAACTCACGGATAAGCGCCCCTCCCCCATTTTAAAGGATGGACAAGTGATCATACCACTGGTCGAATTGCTTAGGCAGGGAAATTGGAGTAAACGATTTTCACATACATACTACCACTGATATACTAGAAGTTAGGATCGGCTTTGTTCACTAATACACAGTTTATACTTTTATTTACGCCCAAATGTTATACTCCTTGGGACGATCATATCTGGTCACAAGAAAAAGTTTGGGAAAAACTTAAGGAAGGGTCCCTTCGCATAAAGTACCCTCTCTGTAATGAGCGACCCATCCTAAATTCGAAATGAGTGCATCAGATACTCATTGCAGTATTAAAAGCATATCAGTATAACAAATAAAGTCACTTTGGCATAGCCTGTGTAAGTATATCTTACACACTCAATGACAAATTGCTCGTCTTCTGTTTTAGTTTTCTATCGAATAGTTGTTGAGAATTGGGCAGGAAAAGGAACAAGAGAGAGCCGAAAAACTGATTAATACATAACGGTTATAGGACTGAGTGGAGTCCAATTCGGTCTGTAATCATACAAGTGATCAGCAAAATCGGACGACCGCGAGGCGAGAGTCCGATTTGTTAATCACGAGTATGATTAAGGACAGAATTGGACGACAAGAAGTCCTGTTACCAATTAATCATAACCATTTGAATTTCCGAAAAAAAAAGCACTTAAAACAAATATCTCCAGTGGAGACAATGTCTTTAGTTAAAAATTCCTCCATTTTGGAAATCCCCCATTTTTCCCTTGGATAAGTGGTTGTTGCTGTGATTATTTTGATCATTTCTGTGATGGGTGGATTAGCTGAGTGGACTTAGTAGCTGAGTCAACTGTCCGATTACAGGTTTCTGATTACAGCCAACTGTCCGATTAAACTGTCCTATTACAACTTTACAGAATGATTAGTAAAAAATGAAGCTGCGGATGCACCAATAACATTTCAGGAATTTGTAATGGTTGTGATTAATAGGCTAAAGATGTCGATGTTATCAAGAATTAGCGAGCAAAGTTTGCCTGAATTGCTTTCCTTTAATTTGCAGGTACCTCCATTACAACGAAATGCGAGAACTACCGGAGGGTTTCTTTACAAACATGAAGAATCTAATAACTGCGTAAGTCAAGTGGAATGTTCTCCACGCGAGGAGTTTAAAATTGAAAAATTTCATTTGTCGGTGCTCAGTTATACTGCGCTTACTTTATTATTATTACACTTTCATTTTCTTACAAATTTAGATCCTGTGAGGGATCAAATTTTTTTTTTTCCCTTTTGTTGTTCATCTGAACTCTTTTTATGAACCGTAGGACTGTAGACACCAACCTGATGTGTTGCCATTTGACGAAGCAGGATGCAGATTGCGACTTTGCTTATGTCGACAGCTTTGCCAGTTGTGAAACTTTGTTCAGAAATCGAGCTCCCAGGGAGTGCCTCTGGGTGATTGGAATTATGTCGTTGGTTGGTGCTGTGTTTGTCATTGTGTGGCGATTGGTGTTTTAGGGAGACGAAGAAGAAAAACAAGATACAGTCCATCATATTGATACATTTGGCTGGGTCCGATGGACTCATGGGTGTCTACCTCCTAACGATAGGTGTGGTGGATGCCATTTGGGCAGGGGAGTATTATTTGCATGACTATTACTGGCGTTCAAGTTTGACATGTCAGGTAACAGGTGCCATTGCCGTGTTGTCAAGTGAGGTGTCTGTAATGACGATTTGTTTGCTCTCCGCCGACCGGATGAAGAATGTTCTGTTCCCCTATCGGGGAAAGTCCCTTACACTTAAGGTTACGCACCTTTTGTGCTTCCTTATCTGGATTGTTGGTGGCATAATTGCATTTATTCCCACGGTGGGCTTCGACTACTTCGGTAGTCGCCAGAAAGGTCATCACTTCTATGGCAGATCAGTTGTATGTCTGCCATTGCAGCTTTCCACAGATAAGCCGTCGGGCTGGGAGTACTCTGTTGCCATGTTTGTGGGTTTAAACTTTACCCTTGTGCTCTTTGTCGTTGTGGCATATGCGATGATAATCTATAAGTCCTGCGCATCAAACAGGCGCATGGCTAAACAAGGGACCGAAAGAGAGAGGAGAATGAAAGCCAAGGCAAGGGCAGCCGATCTTAGGAGGGAGGCCTCGCTCGCCAAAAGAGTGTTCTTCATTGTTCTTACCGACTGTGTCTGCTGGCTGCCTATTGTGGCGATTGGAATGAGGTCTCTCTTGGAAAAATCCTTCCGTACACCTGGTGACCTCGCAGTTTGGATCGCAGTCTTTGTTCTGCCGGTTAACTCTGCCATCAATCCCATTCTTTACACCTTGTCTACCCCACAGGTACATGTGCTCATAACTTGAACGGTTGGAAAAGTATATATTCAGCCAATAAGTTAAATTTTGTATTTATATCATGTCTCTCAGATCACAGATCACATCTAAATTCGACAAGAATAAATAAGTGAAACACGAACCGCCAAGAAGTGTCTCACTGTGTATAATTTTACCGGATTTTTATATCAGCTGGTAAACTTGATTTCCGCCATTTCTGAGATCCCTTTGCCTCAGAACTCTCTTCTGTATGTAAAACGTGCACGTTTTCATTGTATCGCACTCGGTTTGAGAGTGGCTGGAAAGCTGCGCAAACGTAGTTTGCATTCCTGGGGAAATCAAAGACTCGAAGGGTTTAAAAACTGGTGAGGAAGTACTATTTACTGATTATAACCTCGTGTTTTGTTTCGATGTATTAAGGTCCGAGGAGTCATCAGAGCCAAATTCCAACCATTGTGGGATTATCTGGTGGCAAAACTCGGCCGAAATCAAGATGTTGAAGGTAATTTTTGACACTTTAAATAATCTTTCATCATTCTGGGGAGTATTTTTCTCGTTCTTTAATTTTTTGGTTTCATGCCATAAAGTTACGTTTTAAACAGGTTTAAGAGCAGATATACCGTGGGTTAATCAATCAGATCGGCTCGTAAGCCAAGAGATACTTTTTGGTTACCCATATGAATAAGAAACAAACAGATCTATGTATTTAGTGGCGCGTGAGCTTGAATCTTTCATTTAAACACATAGGTTGACTCAACCTCAAATGATAAAAAAAGACGTTGCCTCATGAATGAATAATTTGTTATTGCTGATGTTTTGTCCGCTTGCTTGTATTTTTTCGTCAGTTCAAGATCAGGGAATAGAGATGAGAGTCATCGAAGAAGGTACGCACCATTCACTTCTCCACAGACTAAAACAAATTTCAGAACGCAATACCTAGCATTCAAAAACCAAGAGCAAAACAGAAAAGCCAAAGAAAAGCATTGTTGTAACTTTGAAGCAATTCGGTTCGACCTTTTTGCCATTATAAGAAACGCGTAAAAAGTAATTTAGCCTCCAGTTTGAAGTTTACAGACAACCACATTTTGAGTCAATTTAATTACTGTAATTTTTCTTTATGTAATATGCTTAATCCTACTTTGACTGATTCTCAATTATTATTTAGTGGAGGGAAGACTTATAGATTTTTTCACCACTAACAATATTTCGCTTTTTGTCATAAAACACTCACATAAAAAATCGAAATGGGCTAAGAACATCGGAGACTTAATCGGCTGAGTCCAGTGCACCACATTTTTGATGTTACCACATTTTGTCGTCATATGTTATCTATGAATGAACAGACGCACGGCAACATAGGCTACTTGTTTGGTCGACCGTGAAAAGTTTGCAAATAATGGTTTTAATAAGGTATCAAAGCCACAAAGAGATATTCGGAAAGAGTAAAAGCGGAGCGTAAATGATTGAGGACGGAGAAGTTACACGATGCGGTTACCAAATGCAAAAAGCACGGTATAGTTCGTTTTACAAATTTGGCGATTTGGCCAACTACAACCACCAGAGGAAACACTTTTTAACCTTATTCCCTTTTTGTGTTTATTTTATTGAACACAGTACAAAACCAAGGGGAAGTGGGGAGCACTGACGATAGTGAGGATGAATCGCAAGAAGAACAAGGAGATGGTGAGCACCATGCAAGATCAGGCGAAGACAATGAACAACCTTTTGAATCCCAGCAGGTTGAACATGAACAAGACGAAGAACCAAAACAAGGAAAAGAAGAAGCCACTGAAAAGCAGCAAGTTGAACACGAACAAGACGAAAAACCAAAACAAGGAAAAGAAGAAGCCACTGAAGAGCAGCAAGTTGAACGTAAACAAGACGAAGAACGAAAACAAGGCCCAGAAGAAACGACTGAACAGCAGGAAGTTGAACGTGAACAAGACGAAGAACCAGAACAAGGCCAAGAAGAACCCACTGAACAGCAGCAGGTTGAATCTAAAGGAAACGAAACACCAAAAGATGACCATGAAGAACCAACTACAGAGCAGGAAGTTGAACAAGATCATCAAGCAGATTCAAAGGGAAACAAAGAAGTCAGCGAGACGCAACGAGAAAAACAGGAGCTAAATGAAGCCGATGAAAAACCTGAGCGAAAGCTGAAAGGAGACGACCAGGAATCCAAACAACAGGGCACTCAACAACAAGAAGAAAAAGAACCGAACGTCGACCATGCAGAGCCTGATGAGCTAAAGGATGCAAGTAAAGAGAAGAACAAGTCGAAAAGAAATGAAAACGAAAGTGAACAGCAACAAGAGGAAAATGAACAAGATGAGCAGGAGAAAGAAGAACACCCTGAAGAAACCGAAAAGCAGCAAATTAATTGTGATCAAGAAGAACGAGAACAAGACCATAAGGATCCTAAACTCGAGAAAATTGGACAAGAAAAGCCAAAAGGAGACGATGAAGATTCTAAGAAAGAGCAACTGGATTATGAACAACCAAAAGAAGACCATAAAGAACCTATGAAAGACCAACTGCAGCAAGAAAAACGAAAAGGAGAGAATCAGGAACCTAAACAAGAGCAACTGGAAACTGAAAAGCCAAAAGGAGAGTATGAAAAACCCAACCAAAAGCAACTGGAAGACGAGAAGTCAAAAGGAGCATGTGGGGACTCCCCACAGCAGGCTGATGAGCCCGCGGAAGATAAATCTTCACGACAGCAGCAGCTGATTGCAGACGAAGGTATGTTTTGCCACCCTCCATTTTCGCCAAAATTCAAAGTTTTGGAGCATTAATTTCTCGTTTATCAGTCTGGGTAGAAGAAATATATCTTCATTACTCCAAAACTCTTGGTTATTTGTTTTAGGCGACAATGTTAACTAAAGTATCATGATAATGAGTTGCTTTGTTATTCAACAGGAGATTACGAAGAAGATGATGCGGTACTGGATACACGTCTGTAATTGCTAGCATTGACTCATCAAGTGTTTTTTAGTTCTAGTTATCGTTTTAGTAATAAAAAGGTTACATACCGTTATATCATTAAAATGACGCATTTATTTAACCAAGAGCATTAGAGGATAACTCATATAAGGTATTACAGTGACTAGTGCGTGCCCGCAATGTTTGTTTTCATTTTTTGATAGTCTGAGTTGTCGTAGACAAGTACAAACAGCTACAGGAGAAAGGAAGTTAGTATGGTATGCTAAATAGATAATCGTGAAAGCATATTTACGGCCGTGTTGCGTTTCCAGTGTCGTCAGAAGTTTCCGCAACTGATTTTATTTCAATATGATTAGGTTTATTAGTACTTATAAACATGATTTAACTATCTACTCAGCATTCAGTTGCATCTATTACTCATTATTTATTGACTTTAGTCCTAGCATGTTATTTAGTAGGTGGCTTAATTGTTTTTACAATGCTACGCCACTAATCGTATTTACTCCACTGCACACATATATCAAGTGCACAGGTCAGATAATGTATTTTCATCTGGCTCCTTTATTTATTCACCTTTGTTGTTAACCTACGATTTAAGTTAAAATTTGGTAGAAGCTTGCACAAAATATAAGAAAAAAAAAGTATCACAGGAGTGAAACCCAAGTGAGAATGTTATAAAAAGTGTGAAATGTTTCATAATTTATTGTCAAGCCATTTAGTATCTAATTAAAAAAAAATTACAAAATTTTAGCTCTCACTTTTTTTGTCTTCTAATAATTGAACCATCGTGGAGTTCAACAGCATAAACAGTATCTTATAACTGGAAAATCACCTTTGATGCTGGAAATCAATTCAGTTGCTGCAGGATTGTTCAAAATAAGTTGAATTAGATTGTCAGTTGACTGATCAACCAATAATACGGGACGTGAGAACCAGAGAAAGGTTGTAGTTCAAACACAGAAATGGTAGGAGAAGTTGAACGTAAAGATTCCGTCAACAAGCTTTCTTGTATCTCCATAAATTTTGAATGAAGATCATGCACTGTGGTCTCCTAGAGTCAGTGACAATCCCTGGCTTAATGTTACTTCTGCCACCAGGATCCCGCTCTTCCTCACGTGTATACATATATTGTAAGCGCTAATATATGTCGCAGAGTTTGTCTTGTATTTTCTTTTGGGTAGAAGCAACGATGAACCCGGATTAATAAACTGATATAGTTTTTGGGTTTGGTGGAATCGTGGAAAAAAAATAGAAAATTTTTTAATATATAATTATTTCAGGTTTAGAACGTCAATGCCTCGTTAGCGCAGTAGGCAGCGCGTCAGTCTCATAATCTTATGTTAGTAATCTGAAGGTCGTGAGTTCGATCCTCACACGGGGCACGTTATTTTTCATTTCTTTTTTTTTTTTCTTCTTATTTCTCAAACAGACCTGCTTGCCACAAACCATGATAAGATACACAGGAAATATTTTTATTTTCCTTGCAGCAAAATAATTGGGAAGTCCTGCAAACGAATTCTGGCCTCAAGATCGATCCCATGAACGATTTTCAGGTCACGTGGCTAACTGCCAAACCTCATGCAGGCTTCATAGAATTTATATTACAAGGATGATAATTGAGGTAATTAAGCAGGACAAATTGAAAGGTATCACTTCAAAAGTTTGCTTGTAATTATCTCTTACTCCCTGGACTTCACTGTCTGGTTTCCACTCCCCCACAAAATCGAACAGAAGTAGGTTTCCATTCCCCCGCAAATTTGAACAAAAGAAGTAGCGGAAAGTGTGAGAACGAGATGACGGCCGGTTTGTTTTGTCTCTCACCTGTATTGAGCGATACTAAAAGCGATCACTTAAAGCGTAACTACTCAAAGTCGATGTTAGCACTATTTTTGAGCGAGTATTGGTGGTCAATTACGGCATGAAGTGCCTTTTTTATCGTTTTTTTAATATCCAAGTTTTGGGACCTGTATCAAGCTTTCACCTTGCTATTCACCGTGGCTGACCTCATAATGCAGGTTCGACTGTACTTCATAGCGCGACTCAAAACCAAAGTTATGAACGATAATAACGCGGCATAAGGAAAAAGAGAGTTCATTTTATCTTAGACCGTAAGTTAACAGTGTGGCGTGATTGTTATGTTCTGCATCACTGGTTTTCTTTTGGCTAGAGTTGTTCCTTTCTTTGTCTCGAACAACTCATAAGCCCAACTTATTATACAGTGAAATAAAATGATGCAAGTCTTCTTTCTTACAAACTACCATGTATCCTAATTGGAAAGCTAATCGGTGCGACAAATTTGTGACAAACAAAAACTCCATATGAAAATGAGTGTATTGTTTATTGAGCTGAATAACTTTGGTTGGTTTAAAAATGAATGAAAATAGCTGCTTGAATTAAGCAACCACTTAAGACTCAAAACCTGTCTTTGTCCTGTCCTGTCAAGCTTTTGCTGGACAGGCCACGTACTAATCAGAAATCTACATCCTGTACTTTGAGCGTTGAAAGAGATCTTTTCCCTGATAAATATGATGCAACTGTTCTTGATACAGCCGACTGGAATCTACGATTCGAGGTGGTGCTTGAAGCACTGTTGCACCGGCTAGACAGCGCTGACCTTGATGGAGAACAGCGACCTCCTTCGGATCGCAGGTCTTCATTGGCCCCCATAGCTACGACAGAGATCTTTGGCACCATCGGCTCGTCGGGTTTCTTCGTAGTCCTCTCCGGGCCGGCACCGAAACGAAAAGAAGAGTCGGGGGACATTTGCTCCGCATAAATGGCCATTATTTTAGTAAGAAAAGACACCGATGGGGAATTATAGACACTGAAGTGTGAATACCAGCTGTACTCGTCGTCCACAGCAACATTCTCCGAAGTTTTTGGCGAAGGGTACGAACGATCATGATTGCGTGTTATGGAAATTTCTTTTGATTTTCGGTCAACAGCAGAATTTGGATACAACTTTGTGTTGATATTTCGACTTCGCCGAATTGTATCCGCTCGAACGGAAGTAGCATTTGACACTGTATTTATCACCCGACGCGTTTGTCCTTTAGAATTTGCGATTGCTTGTCTTTCAATAAAAGATGTTTTAGTGTTAAATGAGCAACTGAGTTCACTGATGCCGTCTGGGTTAGCGTCATCCGCCCCCCTCTCTAATTCTGTTGTGGCCAATTCTAATACTTTCTCAACTTCCTCCTTGCGTGATATCGGGTGTTTCATAATTCTCTCATGCCACGCATATTTACGCCGGCGGGCATACTGAGACTTTTCCATGTGTTTGGTGTCTACAGTCACTAAACTTGCACTTGAAACTTTTCTAGGTGAGCTCGTCTTCCTTTTCAAGACCCTTTCGTTGTTTGAAGAAGATTTCTCGCCATTCGAAGTAGGGGTCTTCTTTGTAGGAATGTGTTTCTTTTGAATATTCCGGGGATTAGATTGTTTCCTCCCAGCAGAGTTGCTAATCGCAGCATATTTACTTTCCTCGACACCTCGCACCTTGCCGTTCCAAGATTTCTCTTCTTTTACGCTCATAAAATCCAAAAAAGGATTCACCTGAATATTTGTAGACGCATTCCCGTCAGTCAACAGGATAGTCACACACTCTTCATTCCCCAGTCGTTTGGCCTCCAAATAAGGTGTTCTGTCTTCGAGATTTCGAACATCTATGTCACCTTGAAACTTATTCAGTTCGCTAACTATAAATTTCACTAAAGTGGCGTTACCTGTGCGAACGGAGTGCATGACTGATGTGTTTCCGTCGAAATCTCGTTGGTTCAAATCAACGTCCTGTTTAGCGACATTAACCAGTAGTCTAACAATATCTTCTTTGTCGTCGATGCAAGCCCTAGACAGCACATGTCGGCCCTTTTTATCAACGATGTTTACATTCGCACCGTGCTGCAACAAGAGTTTGAGTAAGCTGTTACGTGTGCGACATTTCTCGTCAGGTAACTGCGCGGCATGCATAAGAGGAGTCAAACCCTGTTCGTCCACAAAATTCAGGTCCACTCCGCTCTCAATAAGGTGCCGAGTTTGATAGATTCTCCCGTCGCAAATCGCTTCTTTAAGTCTGGTCGTAGTTGGATTGTAAAACGCTGCTTTCATGGTGTCTAAAAGAAACTTTTCGCGAGTTTTGATCTCTTGTCGGTCCAATATAGCGC